AAAAAAAAAAAGGGGGGGGGGGGGGGGGGGGGGGGAAGTCTCGTTCCCGAGGCGACCTGCGCGCGGATAATTCATGCGGAACTTGGAAGAGCGCGTTCCGGGGAGCGAAGAGCGTTCGCGGATCCACGACGAAATGCGCCGAGAAAAATAAACCGGAGTAGAAATCGAATAGTGGGTCAGCTTAATCGAGTTGGTAATGACTTTCTGCGATTTTGCTAGATTTCTCCACGCAGACTGTGTGGATTTTCGAGTCTCGGGCTTCGAGACGACGGGATTGAGACATATTTATTCGCAAAATAGTAAAGTTACCAACACGGAAAGTGCACTATGATACAATATTTTTGAGCTCGTTGTATGAAAGGATACAATAACAAACGCAAAAATACAGACGAAAGTAAGAAATTATTTCCGGACTCGATAAATCTCACTGCAATAAGCCGGTAATTAAAAACGTTATATAATCCTAGCTCGCGATCCGGGTTAGACCCGAAACACCGTGGAAGGATTAAAGAAACTATTTAAAAAATGATAGAGCGTTTACGAAGTCAATGTGGTTAATTTTGAACGTACCATGATTATCGGTAGTTCTACTCGAGTGGATTAAAAATTGAAAAGGTTTGAACGTGTGTAATTGCAATCCCGCGTCTCGCGTACTTAGTTTTCGGTGAATTCTTGCTATCATCGAATGCACGAGCATCCGCGACACGGCTGACGGATGACGGCCAAATGTCCGCATGAATATTTTCCGCGCGAAATTGGCATATTCGGTGTCGCGCCGATTGCGAATAAGCGGAGCCGGTAGATCGGATTTCGGGAAGACGGGGGATCCTCGATCGGCCGGCTAACGAGCCAGAATTCTCTACGTATCTGATCCACGAGGCACGAAGATTAGAGCCCCGTTAATTAGGTGCGCCAGCTCGACTCTGTTTCGTTGATGCACACACGCCCGAGGCCGTTCGTTCCTCGGTGTATCCGAGCAACGAATATGTATGTATGTATATATTTATATGGTTTCCCTTCCAGCTTTTATTCCGGCCTGGACTCCGTCTTCTTCCTTCCCAGCTGCCGCGACTCTCGTTCCTTTCCCTCCTCTTCTTGTTCCTCTTGCCGATTCCCCCGTTTCGCTTCAACGATGTTCGCTTCCTCTTCAATCGGTGTGGGTGACGGTCTGTGGCCCGTGTCACGAGGCGATCAGACACGTAGACGCCGATCGAAACAGGCCGAGGACCGAGAGGATCGCTGCGAGGAGGATGCTCGACCTCCCGAGACCGGCCGCCTCGTTGCTGTAGGGTAACTTGACCTCGACCTCGGCCATCTTGAAGATCGAGAGCAGGGGATGCGTGTGGACCTCGTGGTGCTTGTTGTTGATCTTGTCGCTGAGGTCCTGGAGCATCGCGGCGCACTCCTCCTGCAACAACAACCCCCGCCGTGCGTTATTATCGTCGTCCAATGGCAAGCGTGCCATCGTTTATTTAGAATTTTCGGTCGGAACTGTTCGTTGTTTGTCTACGTTTACTCGGGTTGGCATCGTATCGACAAGAATTTATCGAGTGGAAGAAAGTTCTATCGTTGCTAAGATTAATGTTTCAATTTTTATTTCAATTGGGAAAGTACTTTTTCATTTTATGAACATTTGTCGACTTGCGGAGATGCCGAGAAACGTGTTGCAATTATTATCACAGTAATTTCTCCCTAATTCGCGCTCAGGTTGCGCACGAAAATGGAAGAATGTGGGAAGAGATGCGATAATTCGAGCCTTGCGGCTCGTTTCTATAGTTACCGATTGTCAACGACTATAGAAACGAGTCGCAAGACTCGAATAATCGCGTCTTCTCTTCCCAAATTGTCCATTTTTGTGCGCAATCTGAGCGCGAATTAGGGACTTTGCTCGGTAGTGTTATTTTTTAACACTCGAACGGCGGTCCTTTTCGACAATAATATAACCGAATATGCTCGGAATCATTTATAATGTTATATAGCAATTGCTTCGACACTCTTTTTAACGCCAAAGCTACCGAACAGTAACGGTGACTGGTGTCATTAGCTCATAAAAATGAGATCACATTTATCTAGATTTTATAAATAGATTTCATATATTTCTAAAATCTAGACAATAAAAATTATAGAATTCTAAAATAAGAAACTAAATATTTTGACCGTGACAGATTTTTGGGTTAAGGTACGCCTCGTGATCAGCTAATAAGCAATGATAATACAGCTACAGACTTTAATGAAACATGCGAACGTTTCAATTAATTGCCAGCAATCGGGTGGCCCAATAACAATATTTATACACTGGGTCTGTGTATCGATACTCTGAATGCTAATCACTGTATCGACCACGAAATTCAATATTTACTGCATTGTATGCTTCGCTATTATATATATATAATTTTTATTACTACTACTCAATGAATAAAACCACCGCCTAACCTTTCTTGCAATTCCTATCGACTCGCAAAGGAGAATGAAAGAACAAGCGTATCATCGATTGTTTTATACAGCATTATTTCCTGCGGTTATTGCAGAAAGCTACTTTGCAATTATCTCGTTGCTAAATCGTTTCTCTTCTTTTCCGCCGCGACGAACGACCAACCTATTCGCATTTCCCGACGAAGCGGTTTCACTCCAGACAAATTATCATAAACGATGCAAATGCATTAATAATTGCATACTAAAGAACGCAATCCTACATTTGCCGCATTGCTGGCGCCATCATTATTATCGACGCTCCAGAATTACCCGTGTCTCGTACACTCTCGAGCCGCGACAATATTCATCTCGCGGTTCCATTCGCCGAGCCGTAGGAGCGGATCCGCGCCGGAACGTAATCGCGACGACTTAATTAAGCGAAAAAGCGGGCGGGAAAGAATGATGACCCGGGGACACGGATGCGTCCTCCGTAATCAAAAATTAAATCACGTTCTAATATTGTTCGGAGGACCCCCGAGTTTTTCCGGTCTTTGTTCCCGGCGAGCTCTCCGGCATTGTGGCCGCGCGTCGCGCCGCTCCGCCGCGCTTGTTCCAGATAACAAGTGCTAATTTTTCTCGCGGGCGTCCTCCCGCTTAAAGCCCTTCCCACCAATCGCAGCAGAAATTATGCTAAATTCACAATAACAGCGGCCCATTGTCTCGCGGGGCCGCGAGAGCGGCTACGTTTCTTCGCCGTTCGAAAAACGTCGCGCGGCTTATTACCCCGCGGAAACTTGTTTGCTCGCGCCAAGCGTCTTCCTCGTTTATTAAAGGCCGGCTTCCCGACCGTGCGAGGACTCTGCTTTCCGAAAAAACCGGAACCTCCGGCACGGCGTCGTCGACGGCCCGTTGTCCCGAGAAATGCCGAAGAAATTCTGTCGTCTAGACGGAGCTCCATTGTCGGAGCTATCCGAAGGTTTATCTCTGTAGTGTCCTGATACCAAAACATTCTATTGTCTAAAAATTGCATTCAAGTCCTCCATCACATTGATGGAGTTTCGCGCTAGCCAGAAAAATTCACAGCAACCCGAAATTTGGCATCCTAGCGAGAATTTACTCTGATTTAACACTAGATTTACGGAGCACAAAGAAACAGCTGTTTTATATTAGATTATAAAAGTAACAATAAGACATTTATTTAGATTTTTAACAAGTGTTATTGTAACATTTGCCGTGAGTAACGTATAAATTGAATAAATAATTTATCAATGTATCTTCAGGATATGAATGATCGTAAATTAAAAAATTAATGACCCATTAATTACCGGGTTCCGTAAATCTAGTGTTAATATTTTTCTAATGCTCTTTTTGTTATAATTACAATTTGAGCAATGAGATGAAAACGAGCCACGGGGCTCGAAGAATCGTATCCGAGTGTCCGCCGATTACCGTTTTCAATTCCGAGCTCCGAGCCTCCTAGGGAGAATTTACTGTACCAGCACCTCGAACGACGTTTCTGAAAGGGTCTCCTAAAAAATTACAGAGCCAGCGGTGCTCCCAATAGAGCGTGGCACCCAGGGGGCGGGTGCGCCGGGTCCGGGGGACCGCATAAATACCCGTCAAAATTCCTCGAAGCCGTGCGACGTGACTCAAAAGTTCATCCATCAGCGCGGAAGTTCCCGCCCTCCAATTTGTCGGCAGGCGAAAGGTCGGCGCGTATCGCGTTTTCTCTGCCGGAAATCCGATAGCCGGACACTGGATACACAGGACCGAGAGAGGAAAGGGCGGAAAGAGAGGGGTGGTGGTGGAAGGAAGACAGACGAAACCGTGGAAAAATATTCGAAAAAGGAATGCGACGGGAGCCCGTAGGAGTCCTGGGAGGAGAGCGACGGGTGCGACAGATGCGTGGGCGGATCGATGAGGGCGGCCGAAAAACGAATTCCCGGTGCATCGGTAATTCGAAGGACTACCGAGGCCCTCTGCTCGCGAAAAGTTATTCGAAACGGTGCGCGGGGAGCGGCGCGGGCGGCTTGTTTCCCAGCCCTCCTCCCCCTCCCTTCCTTACGGGCGGAATTTAATTTCATTGAAAATCCGACGTCGATGCCTCGGGGCTCGGAGCGAGCGGCGACGGCGGCGGCGGGGAAACGTCGCATCCTCTTCGTCGTCGCGGATTCTGGTCGGGCCACGTGGCGCACGAGCCACCCCCGTGGCCCGCCGTCCTCGAAAATATCACCAAAAATCGTTCCGGCCGGAGGCGCCCTTCTCCGCCGGAAATTAAAGATTCAACGAGCCGAGGGTAATTCCGGGGAACAAGAAGCCGAAACGACGAGACACCGAGGAGAACAGAGACGGGAATAAGGCCGGAGGGGGTGGGAATGGTAATCGATGCGGGGGCGAGTTACATTCGCTGCCGTTAAGTCGAGTCTGAAGGAACCCGGTAGAAAATGTTCCTCGCCGATTCTTTCGACCCCCTCCCCCCCCCCCTCCTCTGGAATGGAAAATCGTCCTGGGGGTGGTTCCCGGTCCGACGCGCCCGTGACCCTTGCCAGAGGTTAATTATTCCGGGTACGGGCGGAGAAATTGATTAACATTAGACGTATCTTCGAAGCGGCTAGCTTTGGATTTCTTTGCGTTACAATTTCTCACCATTAACTGCTATAGTGATTTCCAGAAAGTGGCTGAGAAAGGATGCAGATTGTGTGTTAGATTAAGGATTCGTTGATATTCGATCGTTAGCTGGTGTATAAAATTATGAAAATAAGAAATATTAATTGTTTGCTATAGAACGAAATAGAAATATTGAACGTTAAGGTGCAAGTTATACGACTCACTCTTGTACATGCATAAGTTGCCTAATACTTATTAGTATAATAGTTATTAGTATAATAAGCCGAATTTTTTTATTAGTATAATATAAGCCTAATATTTATTAGTATAGTAGATGTGGTTCAGAGTGTCATGCTTGTTCCCACGTCAATCAGAAAAATCTCGGCATTGTGTCAAACAAATTTGTACGTAAAGAGGCTAAAAATGAGAAAGTTGAACCCTGGTTCTTTTCATAGCGTCGCTATGTAATTGTTGGTTCATCTTTGTGTAAATAATTGTATCTTAGAGTAAGTAAAAACAATAACATGTACTCGAAAAGAATTGTAAAATCGTTTTAAAGGAATAAAAAGATCTCTGAGAAAATACGGTAAATTCTCCCTAATTTTTCTTCAGCTTTTAAACAAACAACGCACAACATGGGAAGCGAAGATACGATTATTGAAGCCTCGCGGCTCATTTTTATAATTGCCGATTGTCAACAATTATAAAAACGAGATCCTCCCAAATTGTTCATTTCTGTTTGCTGAAGGAAAATTCCGTTAAATTTACTGTACCAGTAAAAGATTATTTTCAATCTGCCAAATGATTGTTAACGAATAGGTAAACATAAAAAAGAAGTACCGACTAAAACATATATCGCTCGAAACGAAGGCAGTTTAGCCAAGAAAGACCAACGAAAGCGGGGTCGCGTCTCAGGAAATGATTCGCGACTAATTGAACTAATTTAATCAGATCAACATTCAGTCGTATTTTAAGCCATTAATCAAACGTAAAGTAGCAACGCGAAATAAAGCAACGACCATGAATCTTCGTGCTCGAAGATTCAATCTGAAATTATACGAAGCAACCCGGCGAATCTGATAAACAAATTCGCAGCTGGTATACCGTGGTGTGTCCGCGCGATGCATGCATTTCGCGTGATTAATGTCTTTCAGCCGAGAACGTTCTCGCGTCGAAGTGGCCGAAAGAAAAGCGTAATCGAATTGAACGCCGCGGAGTAATAATGCTAGCACGCGCCGCACCCCGGGTCAAAGCCCAGGACGATAATTCATTTTACATATCGGCTGGCGGCGCTAATTGTGCCGGCGAGTTTCCAGCGCGTTCGCGTCGAGCCGTGGGGCTTAATTATCGAATATCCGTGCCGACCGCGAATTTCGTCGCGTCGCGCCG